CACGTGCACCAGGCAGGTACTTTCCCCTTTCAGCAGGCTGAAGGACAGTCGGAGGTATTCCCAGAAGAGCAGTACCAACTCACGCTGATTAGAGAGCCTGGAGGAACAATATTCCTGAGAAACAGGCAAGGTGCTGGACCTCCCCGTGGCTAGGGAAGATCATCTCAGACAGCCTGACCCCACCGAGGCTGCAGAAAAGGAAACGGTAAAGTTGTCTCCAAAAAACCTACTTCCAAGCAGTGCGATCACACTGATTGCAGAGACTGACATCTGAAAAGCAAGTCCAAAGACTAACAGGGATTATCACCACCTACGCGCAGCTGACTGATAGGCAAATGTAAAATTAATGCTTTCTTCTTAAGAGAGCAATACTGTCTTGCTAACATTAACTTGCAGAGCCCATTTAAAAAAAAAAAAAAAGAACACGACAAGCAGAGGCTGAACAACTGACTTCAGACTCAATGTTGGAGAAAAAAATGGTCTGATTTCTGAAGGCAACAAGTGAAGAGCATGAGCCACAGAACCTCAGCTGAGCTCAGTTACCCTCTGACACAGCCCCTGTCATACCTGGAATAACACGTCCAAAACTGCCTGCCAGCATCATGAATCATCGCAAAGGAAACAAACATTTATTCCAGGAACTTTCTCTCTCATTTCATGAGCTGCAAACGCATCTACAACTCCACGCAGACATACAGCACAGGGCAAACGTGGTTCCAGGAGAATTACCCCCAACCAAATGTTCTCCCATGGACAATCTTAAACCGGCCAAGAAAAGGTAATTTTCCACTTTTACCTTCTGCTGCCTTTGGAGAGACACACAATGAATCATCTTCTGCAGATTCAAATCAAGAGAGCATTCAAAAAGGGGCTGTTCTGGCGTTACATTGCTCTTTTGGCTCATCTCAAAACCCAGCAGCAATACCTCCTTTAAAGCTTTAATACAATACTGGAAATCTCAGCATCTAACAATCCTCCTACAAGTTTGGTGACAAGAGTCCCCAGTAAGGGGTCTCCTGTGATCCAAGCCTTACGTGGGAGTGTGTGTTCACAGAAAGTGCCAAAACAATACACAGACACACATCACATCTACAGATCGATCCTCCAATTCCCACCTGTGGACACAACAATTTCAATTCAAACTCATTGTAGGCATCTGTGGAGTTATGTCAGGAGCAAATCTGGCCCTGGACCCAGATAAATTCTCACCTGAAGACGCAAGGGCCAAGCCGCAACAGGGTAAGCTTGCCCAGACCGAGACTGCTTTGGATGCCCGTGCGTCGCTGCAAGGGTTCCTGCTGCTCCCTAGCTACCCCAGGAGCTTGAAAAATATTAATGAATATGTTCACACTTTCCACTGGCCACTGGGTTTCTTCCCACAAGGACTGCAGGAGGGAAAAGACAGAAAGCCTTGCAAAGCATCCTTCGGCATCTGATCCGATCCTACGAACGTGTGCAATAAGCACACTCAGAGAACTGCCTCTTTTCTCTTGCTCAAAGCATCTATTTGGCCAGAAGTACAACGTCACTGACTCCCTGGGGTAAAACTGTTTTCACTGGAGCTATGACAACATCCACTGCCTTTTCTCAGCCTGCCATGTAAATAAGGCACTTTTGTAATATCCTGTGCAGAAGCTGAGCGTGGGGAAAACACCCTTACCTAATGTAATGAGTGCTGACCACATGCTTGCTCACACAGCCTAACATGGCCCTCTGGTCACCGGCTCCGGCTACTGATCTGTATTTGCACAGACCTCAGACTGGTATGCCTTTGGTTCCAGTCCTGGATTTAAGCAGGTAGAGGGGAAAGGGCAGAGCTTGCCTTTAAATAACGTGAGATCTCAGAGAAGCACTGCTAATTTGTACGATTATATCCACCAGCAAAATTACTATGGTTGGTATGTTCCCAAATGCCCCAGCTCTAGGAACCCTGTGAACGAGAAACACCTGGTTTCATTTAACAAAAAGCTAATTCCCAGCCTTCACCTTAAAAACAGTATTACAAGGGCCTTCATATGACCGCCTAGTCCACTCCCCAGCCCCAAGGCACACAGCTAAACTACATTATCCCCAAGCGATGTTAGTCCAGCTGATCCGTAAACACCAACACCGTGGTTCAACAGTTTGCTCACACTCTGGTCTGGCATTTCACCATACTAACTGAATACTGAGGGGGAAAGAAAAAGCTTAAAAGCCAAGCTTCCACATGCACCCTGAAGTATTAAAATAGCAGAAAGCAAGGAAAAAGAAATTTCTTTTTTTGCACAAAACTTGATTTTAAAGTCAGCTTCATGATTTCTGGGATCCCGAGTGGTGCTTTTGGAAGACGTGGGGTTGACAGTGTTACAAATCCCTCACTCAAATCCCCAGGCGCTCATCAGACAAACAAAACCCAGCTGCTCATTCAGACCCACAGGATCCCCTGTCTCCTGTTTATCCACCAGAAATTCCCTCTGCATCCAGGAGATGCACCTGCAGCATTTCTCGAGATCGCCCGCAAGATTCAGAGGTTTTATTTCTCCTGCGTCAAACCAGACCCAAAGTGGCTGAGAGGCACCTCGGGATGGAGACCAAGGGTTGCGAGACTTTTGGACACGTTTCCCAGAATAAAACCTTCTTCAGTTCCTATCTGAGGCTGCCCTCTCCCCCACATCATCACAGAGCCCTTGGGTCCTCAGCCTTTCCACCACTGATGCTGAAGGAAGCAGTCGTGCAGCGGGGACCGGAGGAACAAAAGGGGCCCAGCCTGTGTGTTGGAGAATAACCTGAATAATAAGTAACTCAAACACCATCTGCAGGATTTTAAATATGAACAAAATACCACTTCCCAGAAGAGGTCCTAGAAACAGAGCGCGGAGCATAGAGGGGAAGAAGGTGTCCCTAAAGACCCAGCCAATTAACCTTTCGATAAAATTTGGCCTTTTTACCAGAACTCCGCTGCTTACTTTTTACCAGAAATGTTCCCAGAGATTTATTTTCCTTTCACTTGCTAATTAACTTGTCCAGATCTTTCCTCTGCTTCTATGCGATTTTAAGGACAGACTCAAATTCAGATTTTTCTCCTCCCTTGCATCTCTCAGGTCTGTCACATTTGGCAGAAGGCAGCACAGCGCCGATCAAAGCTGTGTTCTACAAAGACCTGGATCTGAAGGAGACGCTGGCCCCAGGGAGTTGCTTCTGCGCTGACCACACTCCGTGCAGCCCATGCAGCTTCTGCACTCCCCTGCAACTCAGCCTGCCTCTTGCTAGCTGCCTCGTGGAGAGCTGAAGATTATTAAAATGAATAATTATTCCCTCTTTCGAACCCCCAGTCTCCAACAACAGAGATATCAATTAAAAACTTAACCGTTTCATTTTATTTTGTTATAATGGTGGTAAATGGCTTACTCTACTGAGCTCTCCTGCAGCCTTTTATATCCAAATGTTGCACTACAAGGCATAAATGGACCATGTGTATTCACCTCTTCCAAATTAACAGTGGATGACTTGCACGTGTAGAATGAGATCACTGTTAACAACATTAACACAGCCTGGATTCACCAGGGCTCTTCAGTTCTTTGCTGTCTTTACCTTTATGTGATTAAGTACCTAATTACAGTCAGTGCTAATAGCCAGGGGATGAAATTCAGAGCTTTTATAAGCAAGGGGAGTTCTTCTGCTCAGGTCATCCACCTAGACGAGGTCTGAGCTTGACTTTACACCTCATTTCCACAAAGACTATTTGCTAACAGGGATACAGATGGGCTGCTCACTGTCAGAGGACACCCAGTATTAGTTATGCAGTGCCTGTTTGGCTATAGAGACATGCAAGGCACAGTTTTCATGATGGTACTAACGTCAGACAACTGGAAACATCAATCCCGGGGATCATTTTTAGGCAGGGTAAGGCCTGACACTCGTGAGAAGACCAAACACCATCACCTTTCCTGGAATAAGGTGGTAACCATTTTCTCTAGGAGCGAGAACATAACTGTCTGTACCTGCTCAGGAGCAAAGTTCTGTGTCCATGGAGCTAATAACCTCAACAGACCATGCATGGACAAGAGCCAGAGGAAGGAGAGGGTTAATACATATTCTATAGTGCCTGAAATGGGTACAGAAAATACCATACACCAGGTCTTTTCCACTCCTCTACCCCGGGTTACCACATTACGATACGATTTCGAGTACACAGCCGGTGTCGGTACGGAGAAGACATCTGCTCTCGGCAGAACACCCATCTCCCCAGGCACCACCACACCAGGGTCCCGCAGTTTGGCGCTGGCTGAGTCAAAACAGAGCAAATGCGCCGACAGTTTTTGGCATGGAAATGCTTCCACTGAAAGCTGCAAGTGCGAGTTGTCATTTTCAAGGCAACGCCATTTCATGTTTTGCAGGCAAATCTACTCTGAAAAGGAGCACTGAAAGCTGGCACTTTCATCCCTCCCAGACACACTCCTCGGGTATATTTAGTATCGTATTCACAGGTTTGGATGATAACAAGCAAACCTGTATTCTGCTGCCACAGGAGACAATGTCTGATTCAATTTCTGTCCCCTCCTGTCCCCAAGACAAGGCATCACAATCATTTTTTAAGCTAAAGACCACCTGAGCTTTTGTAATAAAACCACATTAAAAAAAATCACATTAAAAACCACACACCATCTCACACCACTCTTCCCCCTTGACTTCAAGAAAAGTACTGATCTTGATCCGTGTGCTCCCCCCTGCTACTTGCTCATCCACACCTACGGGAGAAGATGAATACCCAACCCCCAAATAAACCCACTTATTTTGAGAGCTTCGGGACCAGCACCAATGAGAAAAACAGTTACTGAGGTTTGACCATCCCATTCTCCCCCAAATTTGCCCTCTTTGCCTTTCTGAAAAGTCTTTGGGCCTAAAACCCTAAATGCCAGCGACATTTCAGACTCTTCCTAAAAACTAACAAAGGAAAGTAAGTGCCACGGAAAGGTAAACTGCTTGCTCGTGTAACCCTAGGGACAGAGCGGGATCCTTACCTGCCAGGGCCTGGTTCACCTTGCTGGGTTTGGGCATCTTGACTGGCAGGTTTGGGGCGCTGGAGAGAGAAAAGAAAAAGGGACAAGTTCAACAGCACGGATCAATCACTAACAGAACAGAGACAATTCGGCGGTGCACTGTTCCCTCCTGAGTGCCAGGGCCCCGGATACGTTAACAGGGATTAATTGCTCAGATGAGCCCCACGTGGGACCCCCACCCAATGCACCCTTCTTTGCCCACTGGTCCAGCAGCTACATTTAAGGAGCCCAGTCCTTGCCAGAGCTATCTCGTAGGTTTACTTATCTCCAAGGTGGACCTCAGACCTATGTTGTAGGTAGCTGTCTCCAGCCCCATCTGCTCCTGGCTGGGTGCTGGGCCTGACTCATCCCTTCCTCTTGCTGGGGCCTGTTGGTGGACCCTGTTGTCAACCCCCTTCTCTGATCCCGTGATGCATCCCCGCTCTTGCTGCTCCACCACAGAGCTTCCTGTGAGCAGCTGACCTGCGCTACGACAGACTGCTGCACCAGCAGGACTGTGGCATGAGCACACAGCCAGGAACCGCCGGGATGCAGCAGACAAAGTTCATCTTAAACCTTCCAGGTGACTTGGTCTCCAGCCAGAGAAACACTGCTCACCGGAGCGTGAACCCCCATGCCGTATGAAAAGTTGCAGCTGTACAGATCAAAGGAAGCAAGTGTTATCACCCCCACTGCTTTCCAGATGGGGAAACTGAGGCAGAGAAAGGCCAAGAAAAGCCCTTGAGCACACACAGCTGCAGCCCTGGGTTGAACAGAATCAAGCCTTGACTCTCCTTGTGCATCCAAGGGGTTACTGCAACATGTGGGAACAAGGGAGGAAAGGTTGAAGGAGACTTAGAAGAGTTTGGCACCCACTTTCCTTTGGAAATCAAGAGGATTTGGACACCAAACATCCCCTTCAGGTTCCTAACCTACTTGTTTTGGCAGTGTTTCTCAGCACTGGCAGCTGCACCTCAAGCTAGTTTGGTATACATGGGCAGCCAACGTCACGCAATTAGCTGACGGCAGGAGTTAGGAAGGGAAGGGTGAGCAGCAGCATGAAAGCCGATGAGGGGGTCACTAGAGGAGAAAGCAAGCTGGATCCACATGAGCGGAGCAGGAACATTTGAAATCCAACATGCTGGGACAGAGAAGCCACCCATGGCCTTTGTCTCAGGTGGCACATGTACCTGGGATGGATGCAGGCTCATGCGCATCAGCTGCAGTTAACACACAGTGCATTCAGACAACCATCTCCAAGAACTCCCCAAAATTACCTCAAACCTGGCCAGCTTCTTAGGAATTCACAGAGCAGACTAAGGTGGTCAAGTGCCCAAATGCCATCCACTATCTAGGGGGAACCTAATTCTCTCCAGCTGGGATGGAAGAGATGCCCCACTGTGCCCAAAATAGCACCACAGACAGAGGTCCCTCCTTTCAGCCTTGCTAAAATCTTTGTCCACATTTCCATGACAATGACCAGAGCTGAAAAGATTTGGGAGCGACACATGCCTGTCTTCTACCCTGACAACAGGGACACATCCCCACCTCCCTCTTCTCCTACCTGCCGCAGTTTGAAATAGGTTCCCACACGCGTGCAGAGCTCCCTGAAGAAACCCCCGGGCAGGACCCAAGGCTTGGCGCTGCGCTGACAGCCTGGCCAAACGATTCCAGCTCTTCCAGACCCTTAAGAAGCTCTCCAGACCACAGAGGTTTCCCTTCTCTCTCTTTCAAAGACTGTTTTCTCCTCCGCTGCCCCCAAGTTTGCAATGTCTTCAAATGATGCAAGAGATTGTTCTCGCTACAGCCCAATTCAAACCCACCGAATACAGGGGAAATCTTCCCCTGAATTTGAAAGGGCTTTGAATCAGATGCTGTGACTCCTCTTTATGACTTTTTTCTTTCCTGATTCAGCCTCTTCATCACAGCTTTCTCAGGTATTTCCCTCCTCCTTCTGTATCTCATCCCTTTGCTCCATTTCTGCTCCTATGATCCTCTTCAGATGATGGCTAGTAGCAGGGCTGCTCCCTCTCCAGCTGCAGACAAGGAGGGTATTTGAGGACCAGATAAAAAAAAGGAACTTGAGAGACCCGCCCCCAAAAATCAGAGGCAATGGACCTCCCCTCCTTCCCTCTTCCAACTGAGCGGCAGAGAAGACGACACGGTGCCTGGGCACCCCCTCCACCCCAGTCAGTGATGCTGCATGTGATGAAACTGAAGAGCTTGTGCTTCATCGTCAAACCATGAAGCGCAGCAGCCACCTTGGGTGCTTTCACTTCCCCGTGGAAGGTAAAAATACAGCAGAGCACAAAGCTGAACCTTCAGCTCTGCCAGGAAAGCTGATGGGCAGCGGGGGATCCTTCCAAAGGGCTGGAGCACAGGGTCATTACACCTGAGGTTGAAGAAGGCAAACCCAGGGCTGCTCTGGGAAGGGAATCACTGGTGACAACGCTTCGAGAAGACTGGGAGAGAAATTCCTCACTCTTCTTTCCTGCATTGCAAGGCTCAAGTCCAAGTCACCCAGGAGCTAGAGCTTCTATGGAGAAGAGCCCTTGAGATTTGCAGAGGGAAACGGATAAGCAATTAATGCATTTTGCAAGCAATCAAGTTTTGGAAGCTGCGAGTGTATACTGCAGATAAATCACTATCCATCAGCCAGGAAACAGTCGCTGGTCAGCTGCACTCCTGGTGTAAAGGCAAAGCATGTCAGCTTTGACTGCTGGAGGCTTTAAGCCAGCTGACGTGATGATGGAGGAACCAAATACTTCTTATTTCACATGGGCTAAACACACGCAAATTCATATAGCAGCATCTCAGCTAACAATGTCGTAGGATGTGCTGACCCACCCGCTCGACGCCGTGTGAGAGTACCGGCAGGGCTGCCATGCACTGTGATTGCTTTTACAGCTGCAGAAAGCCCAGACATAAGGCTGATGAAATCACGGGAAATCCATGCTGCTTTGAGGTACCTCTGCCACAACACTGCCTGGGTAGACTTGCAGCCACAGTGCGTGGGAGGAAATGTTGCCACGCCAAAAAAGACGCAGAAACACTGCTCAAGCCTACCCTGGGTCTGAAATGGGTTTTTTTGGAGGAGGAAGGGGAAGAGGTAACAAGGAAGGATATTGCTGTTGTGGTATAACACGGGCTGTGTCTCGACTCCGAGAGCAGGCTTGCCAGCAGCACCAACAGACACATTTAGTCCATCAGCTCAGACTCAAGCCACTCCAGTATCGCCATACCAGCACTGGCTTCTTGGGGGAGAGCCGGAGCCAGGCTGGGGTGAGGTCCTGGAATTTTGTCCTGCCATTCACTGCAGCTCCTGCTCTCCTGCTGCTCTGTACACCGGAGGTGACTGCAGCAGGGGTCACCAGGTTGTGAAGAAAGGGACACAAAATAAGACACTGACCTCTAAGATTTGGGAAGAAGATCCTGATAAGATTTGCCATCACTGGTTCCCATAAGCAGAGTGTGGCAATCCGCTATAGGAGGCAGACAGGGCAGACTGATATTTCAGCATGACAAAACCACTCGCTTCTCCAGAATTTCAAGATACTGCAACACCAGTGAGACAGCAAAGCACAAGACCGGAGGGGAAGCGCTGCGCCTGTGGCTGCTGCCATTTCAAACACTGGGTGGCCAGGTTTGAGCTGAACATCACCTAAGCTGCATGTACACAACATCCTAAGGGAGCAGAAACAGGGAGGTCTATAGCAACTCACCCTCCCCACCTGACACGGCCCTTTCTTCCTTCCTCTCACCCTGCACACCAGCCAGCAGGCCGCATATTTCTGTATCACAGCGTCTTTGTAGCCCTCCGGACAACAGCCAACTCTTCTCCCAGATCAGGGCTGCATCCAGCCCTGCCTCACATTAACACCGGGTGCTACCGCAACACCCAAAGGTCTAACCCCCTTCCCAGGGCTAACCGAGTGTACCATGACACTAATGACCATACAGCAGTTTCTCCTCTGCCTTTCTTCTCAAGACGATGCCAAAACCCAGACCAAATCCCTCTAAAGGAGGACCTTTTGGTGCACTGCACGCAGCCACATGGATCAGTGGTTTCGCTCCTGGCACCGAGCAGAGGACATTCCCCTGCTCCCGCTCAGGAAGAACGCCCGGCGGCAGAACCACGCCGGCTAACAAACACGCCCGGCTGCAGGACAAGTCACAATGGGCCCAGCAGAACCAGCACCAAGTAGAGCCCTGCCTCGCCACCCGAGGAGCTCGTGGGCGTGCCTACGGACAAAGCTGCTGAAATATGCAAAGGATATTGGGGGCAATACAGAAGGGCAAAGGCCCTGCCCAGGTTCTGGTCCCTCAATTACACCTCCTGATCCTACAAAGGATGGGTTATTCCCCATGGGAGATTTGGGGGCGCAGCACCAGACCCTTCCTAGGAACACCACAATACTATAAAGCACCCTTCCCCAGTCCCCAAGACTCCCGTTCCCCACACTTTTAAACAAAATCCTCCCCCCTGGAGCTGCCTGCCTTATTTGCAGGCTAGACAGGCACCCAAAGCCGCATAAGCTCAGAGGGGCCAGCAGAGCTACAGCAGGGATTTGCCTGGCTGGGGCACTAATTAATATATACCCGAGAAGATTGCTTCCTGCAGCTTTACTTGCTCATATTACAAGCAGCGCACTCCTCGCCGCATTTTGGGAGTGTCCTTCTCTGTAATTAGCCAGCACAGCGCAGGGAGCGGGGCAGCTCATGCCCCAGTGACAGACGCTTTCCCACATAGGGTGGGAAGGATCATGCGTGGCTGGGAGCCTGGGGAGCTGCACACAGCAAGGTGCTGACCCCTGCTTCACAGATGCGGTTAACGGCACTGATATAAGAATCATAGAATCATTAAGGTTGGAAAAGACCTCTAAGATCATCGAGTCCAACTGTCGACCCAACACCCCCATGCCCACTAAACCATGTCCCCAAGTGCCGCATCTACACGTCTTTTAAATACTTCCAGGGATGGGGACTCAACCACTTCCCTGGGCAGCCTGGTCCAATGTTTCACCACTCTTTCAGTAAAGAC